GAAATTGCTCTCCGTGATGAGTATTAGGGCCTGTAATGGAGTATGGCTGTCGGTGTTGGAGGGTTGGCCGGAATTGGTGTTGAAACCGTGTGTGAAGGCTTGATTTTGAGCCCGAATTTCGTCTGATTTTGGAGGTGTTATGTCCGGTTTTTGGTTTGGAATTGAAGAGTGGGATGAGGATATGTTGACGGTGTGGAAATCCGGTGGTTTGTCCGGCGGCATACTTGATGAATTTGGAGTCGAAGGTGTCAGTGTAGTGGATGAATTTGGTTGCAATTCCCACTTGCCAAGAAAACAAAAACCCAGCTGAATCATGGGAAAACGAATTCCAGTATTTTGAGGAAAAGAGGGTCACGTGCTTGTAAAATGGAAAATGTTTTGCCTGGAAAATATATCCTATCAAACAACCAAAAAGTGGTGGGAAGTTTTCCATCTTGCCTGGAATTGAAGGCCTATCAAACAGGGCTTTAGAGAAAAGTATTTACTTATAAAAAGGAACATACAAAGTGAAAAGTGTAGGCTTAAATCAGTAATTCTTATCCAACCGTCTGTCCAGTCCACTGCCTAGTGGGAGGAATCAAACAGTACCAAATCATTGCTTACTGCTTAGCATCCATTCTCAAACTCCATTGTAAAATTGCAAACAAGGATTTCAAACAAAGCCCATCTCAATGAATCCTATCTTCTTACGAAGCGGAACAGCTTTTACAGGCATTATATCAAACATTTCAAAGCCAAGAGTAAAACTGCCAGCAAAGATTTCAGACAAAGTCCGTATCAATGAATCTCATCTCTTCTTATACAGCATATCAGCTCATACAGGCAATTTATCAAACACTACATATGCAATTTGTTTGCACTAAACCCATTTTCCTAAATAAACAGAGAGTGATGTACCAAGAAACATTTGTATCTTTAAAAAAAATAGTTTATTAACGAAATAAAATCGCATAACAGGGTGAACAGATAAAAAAGATGTCAAAACAAAGCGCCTGAATAAAAGTATAGCATTTCTTTTTGCAACTTTCAATGGATATACACGAAAGAGTAAAGATTGTGTTTTTACCTGAAAGTTGTTTGGTTTCTGGAAGATTTTCTTTGATCTGCAATTCGATATGTGCCCAATCACCCCAGACGCAAACTCTTATTACTAGCAGAGGATTGTGAAACAAAGTTGCCGCAAAATTAATTTATTTCCATGTAAAACTTGAGGAAGGATTATTTGCGGCGTTCATAGAAACAGGAATGGAAAAGGAGAAGAAAAAATCAAAAAAGGTCCCACCGAGATTTGAACTCGGGTTACTGGATTCAGAGTCCAATGTCCTAACCACTAGACCATGGGACCATTTGTTATCAATTCTAACAAATATATAATATATATTTTAGATTCGATCTTCAAGGCATTATTTTCTTCCTCCACATTTTTACCCTAATTTACAAAATTTATACTTGACACCATCTCACACTATCTTCTAAGAAAAAAAAAAAAACTTTTTTATCCAACTATTCATCTTTCGTCATGTATGCAAATTGTAAGTCAGGGTGTAGCGATTTTCTGTACAAATAACTTTACCCTATCTACATTGCATTACACTTTTCAGGCTGATATATATTTATCAAATCTAGATCAAAATAAATATTTAGTAGAACAACTTATAAATGGTTCGATAGTCTTCCTCGAAAGAAGGGACAGTTGAATAGAATGTTAAAGGTAAATTTTATATTGGTCAAGCATAATAAAATTAACTAACGTATAGATTTTAAGCTCTTGTTTGGTGAAAATTAATTTATATTTTAATTTAAGTCAAGATTAACAACTAACTTTAACTACACATTTTATGGGACCCATAACTTTTCAATCACATATTCCAACAACTTTTCTCAAAATTTATTAAAATATGATTTTAATATCCATCAAACAGGATCTAAGTCTCTATTTGAGATCCATTATTTTACATTTTAATGTGGAGATTGGTAATTTTTTGAGAATTTATGATTAAAAAAGAAGGAAATTTTTTTATATTTACGTGTAATATTATTTTATTAAAAAATGTGTGGTTAATAAAAGAGAGAGAAAAATAAATTTTAGTTTAATGATGACCAAATAGAGATAAAACTTCAAATCTTAATATATTTGTCAGTATTGTTATTAATAAATATTAGAATCAAAGTAATGGATAAGGTAAAAGGCAAGAAAAATGTAAAGAACATGCTAGCATGAGGTAAGTGCTACATTAATTGATATGACTAACATTATTTGACATGCAGGGTTTCGTAGTTTTCTTTAATCTTAAAAACTTTTGAAATAGATATTAGAATGTACATGCAACTCAGCTCAAGTGAGCAGTTCAAGCAGCTCAATTTCGGCTAAATTGTCGCCAATGTTAGTTAGGAAGTAGTTATGTACAGTTGTCAAATTAGTTAGTTAATTTTTGTTTGTTGAAAATAGTTAGTTTTAATTCAATTGAATGAGAATCATCTTCCATTTTCAATTTCTCCTTTTCTTCAATATTGTATCAGAGCATGAAGGATGATTGCAATTAAGACTTTGAGGGATTTGAGTTTAATTAGAAGAAGAATTGGAAGAAGGTTCAATGAGTGGTGATGTAGTATGTTCAGTCGAAATTTCATTGTTGGCAGAAGTAGAGGAATATGAGGCTGGATGATGAACATTTAAATCAGATGTGACAATTGGTAATACAACATCAAGAAAGGGATCTGTCAGGTCTAAGGTAGAGACTATAGAGTGGGAAGGGAAGTCTTTCGCATGAAATATCACATCTCTGGAAGTAAGAAAGGATTTTGAGGATATATAATAGAGTTTGTATCCTTTGATACCTGGAGGTTAACCAAAGAAGACACAAACTTTAGCTCTAGGCTAGAACTTGTTTCTATGAGAGGAGAGTGTAGCGAAGCAAAGGCTTCCAAACACCTATAGTGAATTGTAATCAAATGAAGTATCATACATTAAAGAAAAATGAGTTATGTTTTTTAGTATTGGAGAGGGTGTTCTATTAATTAGAAAAGTGGCTGTAAGAACACAGTCACCCTAGAATTGAATGGGCACCTTTGACTGAAAATATAGTGCTCATGCTATATTAAAAAGGTGTTGATATTTCCTTTCAACTACAGAATTCTGCTCAGGCCGTTCGACACAAGAAAATTGATGAACAATGCCCTTATCATCAAATAGTTCTGTGAACTTTAGCTCTTGAGCATTATCAGACCTAAATGTTTTGACAACTTTGTGAAATTGATTTTCAATAAGGGCAATAAATTTAGGTATAATGAACTTTGCATCTGATTTTGTTTCATCAAATAAATCCAACTAAATCTTGTACAATCATCCACCAAAGTGAGGAAAAACTAATGGCCAGCATATGTTGGAGTATGATATGGTCCCCATATATCGCAATGCACCATATCAAAAGCATTGTTTGATAGATGATCATTCGATACAAATGAAAGTCTTCTTCGTTTTGCCAAATGGCAAATAGAACAAGGAATTAAGGTATTTCGCTTATAACGAGCACAATCAATGTGCAGCAAATTTTCAACAAATCTAATTTCTGATATGACAAATGCCCAAGTCTATCATGCCAAGCTTGACTAGTTTCACTATTTGACATAGATTACTGACAAATATTATCACGAACAGATAGACTGGATTCAATAACATAGAAATGTGCCTTCCTTTCATCCTTGCCAATCATCCTCGATGTGATCAAGTCCTGAACCATACAAGAATTAGTGAGGAACTTGACACACAATAAAGTATTCTTTGTTAGAGTACTCACTAACAACATGTTGAATTTGAACTTAGAAACATACAGAACATCATTAAGCATCAATTCAGGCGTGATTTTCACTTTCCAATCGACTGTACAGGGACTTATACATGATTTGGTAGTGTAACATATGCATTCTCAATTGACTTCAATGTGTAAAATGCTGATTGATCATAACATAAATGACTCGTAGCACCTAAGTCTACCACCCAATGTCTAGATGAACTAAAGGCTGGAGTAATAGAGATTGAGAAATAGGTACCTGAATCCTTACCTGCACTGGCTCCTATCTCTGAATCCAATTTAGCTGCCTTGAGATGAGTATTCAGCACGTTCATTAGATGTTGATATTGAGCGGGATTGAGTGTCTGCATGAAACTACCAACACTTCCATCATTGTCATGTTTCTAATCTATGTCAGCTACGTGCTCAGAAATCTGATTAGCCATGGCTTGATTGTTTTGGACTAGCTAGCACATTTAGTCCAAATTTTTGCTTAGGTTTGTACCACGGTGGATAGCCATGAAGCTTATAACACTTATCCACAATATGACCATTGTAACCACAATAGTTACATATTGGCCTCTCCTTCTTTTGAAGCCTGCTATACTGCTATTCTATAGCCTTCCTAGCATCATTCTAACTCATCCTTTTATAATTATTTTGAGCATAAAAAGCCATTGAACCAGTTGTTCCTGATGCTTCATTTCATCATAATTACTTTACTATTTTGCCAATGGATAAGGTGGCGTCAAATAATCATACATCATCAGTAAGCAATTCAGCAACTTGTGATGGTTCTAATTCATATTTTTTGCATCACTAAGATAATCCCGGTTTGATCCTTGTTTCAGTCACTAAGGGGAGATAACTATACTTCTTGGAGCAGATTAATGATGATTGCTTTTTCAGTGAAGAATAAACTGGAGTTTATTGATGGAACAATTACTTGACCTGAAGACAATCAAGAGTTGTTCAATTTGTGGATCTGAAACAATAACATTGTTACTTCTTGGATCCTCAATTCTGCGTCTAAGGACATTTTGGGCAGTGTACTTTATTCTGAGTCAGCTTATGAAAAATGGATAGACTTGAAGGAACGATATCAACAGAGGAATGGTTCACAGATTTTTCAACTAAAGCGAGAACTAATGAATCATACGCATGGGGATTCTTCTGTCAGTACCTATTTCACCAAATTGAAGACAATTTGGGAAGAGCTTGGCAATTATAAGTCCACTTGTTCATGTGGTAAATGTGTCTGTGGGAGAACTAAGAGACTGATTGATCATCACCAAATGGAGTATGTCATGTCCTTTTTAATGGGACTACATGAATCGTTGATCAAACTAAGGAACAATACTGTTAATGGATCATATTCCTCCCATTAACAAAGTGTTTGCATTGGTTGCTTAGGAAGAAAATCAAAAGAAAATTAGTATGACAAATGCTGCATGCACATTCTAATAATAGAACCTTATTACTTTACAGGAGTTGATTCACATAATTCATATAGAGGGTACTTGACAATTCTGGTTGAAAGATGGTAAAAAAAAAAAAGAACCACACGGATGTTGCTACAGCAACACCTGTAAAAATATGTGAAGAAAACCTTTGTACACTTAGTATTTTTCTTTGAAATAACCACTAAATCGCGTGTAAAACATGTAAATCCTTAATTCTATTATCACATGATTATGAACTTTATACTAAGACTTGAATTCCATCTTACCCAATTGACCTCGTTAAAAGAGTAATTCAAGTTCTTATATATTCATTTGATGTGAGATTTAATTCTTAATACTTTGCTAATAATGCCTATAAGTGATAATGATCGAGTTGAGTTGGCTCGTATCCAAATTCTATGCTCGGCTCATCTTTGCCCGGCCCTTTTGGCTCAGGGCATCATGGCCTAACGAAATAAGTCCAAAAATCAAAGCAAAATTATTATTTTTAAAGAATTAATGAAGTCCAAAAATCAAAGCAAAAAACGAGCTACTCGACTCTTCAAAAAAGTGAGCTTAACTCGATTCATGACTTCTTTTAAAACGAGCTCGAACTAAGTCCGCGAGTGACTCGATCCATTTGTCACCCTCTAATTAGGCAAAACCATGCTATTGTGAAGGCTTAATAGTACAAAACGTCCATAAGTCTGACATTTAGTGTGTAAAACGTCTATACGTTTCAATTTTTTGTATTTTCATCCTTATTTGCAATTTTTATTGTAAAAAACATCATTTTTATTCATTTTATCCAATTTCTCAATAAAAATTCATGAAATGACAAATATAACATCTTATTTAAATAAAAGAAAAAGAAAAGAAAAGAAAAAATAAAGAATTAATTGCAACCATAGACCCAAATTTTTCAAAAAATTACAAATGAGTTCCAAACAAATAATTAAAAATCACAACAAAAATAACTTCATCTGCTATTCCCACCAAACCACTAAAACCAGAAATTTGAATATTCTTCCCCAAACACCGCATCCCATAAACTAAACTTCTTCACCCATTGCCACCTTCCACCCATGCCCACCGGAAAATCAGTTTTTAATTTAATTTAGACAACTCCTATGATTTTTTTGGGGCCAAGAATATCACTCACTGTTTGTCCACCTTTTGTATTTTTCAACATGGGTTGGTATGGAAAAGAAAAGTATATTGGGGCTTTAATTAGGAATAAGATGACCTCGTGTTGGTGTGGAGAACAATATTGCCACATGGCGTCGCACAGTCTGGCGATAGTTTGAGAAAGATGAGACGACGGGTGTGATTTGTGTGGTGATGTCAAACTGAGTCCGTGAGTGACTCGATCCATTTGTCACCCCTAATTAGGCCAAACCATGCTATTAGCGAAATAAATATAAATCTTTTATATGATGAACCAACTGAATGAAAACCAAATTGGGTCGAAAATAGTAAATGTGGAAGCTACAGCCTCGAACGAAGCACTTAGCTAAAAGTATGTTAGACATTGCAATTACAAGTTGAACTCAGTCAAATGGGGAAAAAGAAGAACAAAGAGTGAGTTTTGACATGATTTCTAGTTAGTTACCTCTTCTTTGAAAAGGTAGACTTTAAACAAATGAACATGAGCAAACCAAATAATTGGCAAGGCCATCTCCAACGCGATTCTCAAAATACCATTTTGCATCAAAAAAAAGGTGCAAACTCTTTCCAACCTAACATCGTACTTTGCATAAAAATGGTAAATACAATTTTGCCCTTCTCTTTCACTTTGCAATAAAATTGGTTACAGGTATTTGTGTCCATTTCGGTTATATATTTTTTAATACAAAAAAAAAATATTATTTAAAATTAACACGAAATATATCACAAACACTATTATTTTTTAATGACCTGATTTAATATTTTTCTTATTTACAGTGTTTCTATTATTGTATTATATTTTTAAAACTTTTTAATGAATTTAATATTTTCGTTAATATAACGTAATTATTTATTTAGTACTTTATGTGGTTGTAAAATAAATAAATAAATATTTTTTCAAATAAAAAAAATTGTTACGAATAAAATAATGAAGAAAATGATTGAACATTGTTCATTTAGTATAATAAGTTGGAGATAATTTTCAATTTGATGCAAAATGGTGCAAAACTTACCTCTAATTTTAGTGTAGGATTGGAGATGACCTAGGTGCATGACTCAAAACATAAGAAAATGTTTTCAAATTCCCATTTTCTTCCACAGTCGGGTTTTGGGATGGTGAACTATTTTGAAGTACAAGAGTGGGTAGCACAACATGATAGATAGGACTCGATTGTAATCTAAAAAATCCAGGCTCATATTCGTACGAGCAGAAAATGTCTGTTTTGTCAAGGTGATTGAACTTATTTTACGACCTTATCATCAATATTAGAGTATAACCCTTATAGCTTTGAGCTCAATTACTTTGTTGGATTGTAAATGCGTACACGCTAGGTGAGTGACAACTATGTAATTAATTATCCGGATGAATGATCAATGAAGATAGTGATTTTTTCTACATATTGCACAATAGTCTATATTTCACACGTGTCTCGATACCATGATTTCATCAAATAGCTATACATCAACTTCAATGAAAGACTTTAGAAAAAAAAATAAATTGCGAATTGACATATTAAGAAACGAGTAACGCAATTTATCACTATTAGGATCTTGGTTTCATTTTGTTTGTTAAGAAAAATATGATTTACGATCACATTGTTCAGTAATATTTAGTCTTCATTTGATTTCATTATTTTCAAAATACATTTTTCCATCTCTTCTTTCAAGTTTCAACCACCCATTTTTCATTAAAATAATGTTCTACGCAGATTTAATATTTTTTTCTTATTTTTTAATCATACATTCTCTGTCATTTATTATTTAAAAATATATTCTTACAATAAAATATGTATCAAACATGCTCTTAGGCCCTATTTGATAAGACATTATTTTTCATGAAAAATGGAAAACAAATTCCAACTTTCACTTTTGTCTTGTTTGATACACTTTATTTTTTCCACATTTAGCTCACCAATTCCTTGGTTTCGTGGAAAACCAATTCCCACAATTTTCTATCTTTTTTTTAAGCAATTGAAATTTTTTTTAGATATAATATTAAAAAATTTTATCACTTTTATTGACAATTTTCATACAAAATAAAGACAAACAAATGGTTTTCGGTATGATAAATTTTTAAAAAAATTTTTTTTTTTGGCAAGTGAAACAAATTTTAGACCCAATGGTAAAGGAAATTATCACTTTAATAGACAATTTTCATGAAAAAAGAATGACAAACGGATACCAAACTTTCAACATTTTTCAGGTGGAAAATTATACCATTCAAACACAGTTAATTACAATTATCAGTAAAACAATTTTTAGGCAATTCAATTTTCTAGAATTCATTTTTTTTCCAACAATTTTTCACCTTTACAATCAAACGGACCATTACTAACATTTGAATTTGAAACTAGACCCCAAAGCTGGATTCACTATGGGGAAGTTGTACACAGTATAGACAATCATAAAAAAAAAAGGGCTTGTTTGGAGTGATTTTTTTCGACAAACTATCATGAGATGTATAATTTTATCTTTATTTTTAACCTTTTTACTGCATATTTATTCTTTTATAAAAGCAAAATCAATTTTCATCTAAGGTCGTGTTTGAGAGCTATTAATTTCTTGTAATGTATTATAAAATAATAGATTGACAGAAAACGTATAGTTAAAATATACTTAACAAATAATTTAAAAATTTAAAGGACAGACAAACAGGGGCTAAATAAAACTGGCCCTCCCATCCCTTTTAAAGTATTCACTTCGCCCTGATCCCACCTCCACCATCTCCGCCGGCAATCGCCACCGCCGAAACCACCATAAATTTGAGTCGTTCTCCTTTATTACCTTCCGTGCACATGGGTGAGCAGACGCGGACACAAACTGCAACCCAATCTCAAGATTCTAAACCTCCTTCTCCGTCTCGGCCCATGAAATCTGAGCCGAATTTGGACTCAAATTCGCAATCTCCGCCGCAACCAACTCCCTCGGCTGACCCCGCCGCCACCTCCGCCGACGAGTTTTTGCAGAATTCCAAAAACCAATCCAACCCTTCGAAGATTCCAATTCGACCCCAGAAAATACGGAAACTGTCGAGCACCAACACAGACACAAGCTCGGCCGCCGACAAAGAATCACTTCCACCTCAAATCACCTTCGATGATTCCTCCGCCTCTTCCAAATCGAGCATCTCCACCGTTACTGCAGAGCCTCCTGCAACCAATATAACAACCAAGAACCGGCGGCGGAATGCATCCCAATTTTCGAGACCGCTGCCCCAGATCATCAAACCTCTGTCGGCCAATGGGGAGATTGAATTGGCCATTTGCCACCTCCGATCTGCAGACCCCTTGCTTGTCTCGCTCATTGATACCCATCCGCCCCCTCAATTTGAGTTCCACCACCCCCCTTTCCTAGCGCTCACTAAGAGCATTCTCTATCAGCAGCTTGCCTACAAGGCCGGCGCTTCTATATATACACGCTTCATCTCGCTTTGTGGTGGTGAAGACTTTGTACGCCCTGACACTGTCCTTGCCCTCTCTGCGCAACAGCTCAAGCAAATCGGGATTTCTGGGCGCAAGGCTAGCTATTTATATGATCTCGCTAATAAGTATAATTCCGGGATTCTGTCAGATGAATCAGTGGTGAAAATGGATGACAGGTCACTGTTCACGATGCTCTCAATGGTGAAGGGGATAGGTTCCTGGTCAGTCCACATGTTCATGATATTCTCACTGCACCGGCCGGATGTGTTGCCTGTGAGTGATTTAGGGGTTAGGAAAGGTGTGCAGTTGTTGTACAGTTTGGAGGATTTGCCTAGGCCTTCACAGATGGAGCAGTTGTGTGAGAAGTGGAAGCCGTACAGGTCAGTTGGGGCGTGGTACATGTGGCGGTTTGTTGAGGGGAAGGGGACTCCAGCAGCTGGGACTACAATGGCACTGGAGGGTAATATCATGCAGCCACTGCAACAGATTGAGCCACAGCAGGATGAGCGGCAGCATCATCAGTTGCAGTTTCTGGAATCAGTTAATGGCATTGGAAATTTTGGGTAATTGTCCCCTTTAACTTTGAATTCATCATCATTTGGTACATAGAATTATCTGCATTGGTCTAATTAATCATCGTATAACATTATTCATATACATTTGTCTCTATGCTAGTGACTAGTAAGGGTTGTTTATATAATTTATTGATCATTGGCCACCTAATAGTTATTATCCCGTGTATGGATGGCATTACGGTTTTATTGTGAACTCTCGGTATTGTGGATGCTACATGGTCAATAAACTTGTTGGTCTAATTTCACTCTTCTTGTCCTTTTTTTGATACAAGTTTGTTGTGCAGGCTTGAATGCAAAAATCGAGGTACTACAGAATCTGTAGATTAATTTTCTATTAACTTATGATTAGCATATATAAAAAATTTCTATGGACTTTTGCAGACACTTTTATAGGAGATTTCTTACCATTTCTCCGTTAAATTTAATTGCTTTTAAATGTTTAAAATCCAGAAGAATTTGCCGATGAGAGATCAAGTGCATTACATTGTTAAGTGGGGAAGGAAACTTAAACATTTTAGTGCATTTCATATCCCTTATCAGGTGCAGGGCAGTTATGTGGACCAGGGGACTGTATACAAGGACGAGAGAAGTAGAGATTTTGTCTCCCATTGATTGATAGTAGTATGGAAATTCAAGGAGGGGCCTATGTTTATGAAAGAAGGGAAGGAACCCACTGCGGTGCCTCCAAGTAACATTTAATAACTTTTATGGATCTTCCAGTCATACAAACCATAGCTTGCAAATATCATATATACAAGCATAGGTAAAATATAATCCAATTTCGAATGAGAAAAGGATAGAAGCATCTAGACAAGTTCTTCAAACATGGAAGTTAATTTGCCAACAACACCATTGTCTTTGATAACCTTAGCATATAGATTGGTTGAATGAAGTTGGGTGTGTAATGAGATTGTCTGAATTCTATTTGAACTGATGGTGGTTTCACTTCTTTCTTTTTCAGAATGGAAGCATTTAAGGCCCCTTTCCCTCTTTTCAGATGGGAGCTTATGGTTTGCTCAAACTTGAAATAATTATGGTTAGATATGTTTTAAAGTTGGCCTTGAGGTGATATCAAGAAACTAGAATGTGCACTCAGCCACACTCAAATAATGTAGAAACATAGATTGAGTTAGTTGAAGTGAGAATTTTTGCATTAAAAGATGGAGATATAAAGAACAATTATGTTTGTGAATTGGTTAAAGTAGGTGCTAATTGAAGATACATTATGTAAGAACAGATTGAGATTATTTGAGTTCATTCAATGAAGGCCAAAATATGCACAATTGGGGAAAATAGATTTGACCTAAAATTACATGGGATGAGAGAATTAAAATAGATGTGAACTTCTGTTATTTAATTTTTAGAGATGGTCCTCGATGAGTGGAGTTAAAAACGATCCATGTAGACAGCCCTAGATGAGGATGGGGTGAGGTTTTGTTGAATTTAGTATTTCGGTTAGATATGGTCATCTCGTAATACATCCTCTCCAAAATTCTAGTAATACTATTCTATTTTGAGATTGATGGCAAGCAAGTAAAATTAGCACACAGATTTATTTTCTAGGGTAAAGCTTTATTCAATTTTAATTTACAGTTTTGAAATCCACATTCACGTGTTTTTCAAATAGGTTCGTGCCATGTGAGTATTGGTGATTGTCTGCATTCAAATGTGACATTCTGAACATTTTCGGATGGAGGTATTTTTCAGAGACAAAAAGAGTCAAGTACAAAAATAACTTTAGGTTATTCAATTGAGATTAGTCTACTTAGGATAATCAATAGTTGGTGCTTTGGAGATGAATTTGGTGGTCATTCTAACCTATTGCAAGGTTTGAGCTTGCTTGTTTTGAAAATTGATGCAACTCTACATGCATAGCTGTCACATAGAAATGTGGCCATTGAAACAATGAAATGCCCCAGTGGACGACTGGGCTTCAAATAGAGTGATGAGATCTGTAACAGCTGAGAACTAGTAGCCATTTAAGGGATTGTCCCGCAAAAGGAAGATATTTGTCATTTATCAGGCCTGTCCAACATCACGGTGATGTAAATGATGATGATCTGGCCAGTGGTACGATCTGATATACGGAGCTGTGCGTGTTGAAGTTAGATTTCCATTCCAACTAGCACATACCATTAGCAGTCCAGATTTTAGCTGCTGGTTGTGGCACATAATTCATGGGATTGTGACCCCTAAATCCCTTCATGTTTGGGATTGGGATTAATCTCCTTAAAATCAAGGGATATGCTTTTATCTTGTCTAACAGTATTCATAACACTAGCTGATTAGGTTGGTAGTAAGAGCTGTGACCTCCCTCATTTTCACATCGTGTTAAATACCATCGTATGTGATTCTGAACAGAATTTAAAAAAGAGGAAATGTTTATCAACTGAAAGAGAACATTGGTTCTGTATTTGGTTTTACTGATAAGTAATGGGTTTATGTTGAAGTGAGCAAGAGTGAGGCTACTTATGGTGGAATGATAGAAAGAAATGATAAAGAATGCTTCAAATATTAATAAAGTAAAAAGAAGATGTTTATTGGTTGGTTCTACAGAGGAACTAGTGTGTTTATGCTTATGTTTATGTTTATTGAAGGAAGTTATAGTTGTGCTTATCAGTTTGACAGTTTCAATGGTGAAAATGAAGATACATAAGAGGGGTGATTTGTGTTTGTGGAATGAGCATGGGAACAGAGAATATAGGCTTTTCCTATGAATAATGAACAAGCACGTGAACAAGCACATTTAGGGTAGGAAATAGATTGATCTTGATTTAATTCTTGTGTTTCTAAGAGGGAGAGGTTTTGTTGATTTACCAAAAGTGAAAGGAGTGTTCCTGTTCAGCAATGATTGAAGTTGGTTTTCGACATGAGATTTTACCCAGGCTTGGGGACTTCGACACGAAAAACACATCCAGAAATTAATTGTTGAAGTTACTATTCGAAGAATAAAATATATTGAATTAAACAAATATTGCCCACTATGATTTAGCTGGTAATATGAATTTTAATTTGATCGCGTAGAAATGACTGGAGTGGACTATGATTTTAGATCGCAATATAAACTTTAATTTGATCAGGTTGAAAAAATGTGCTGACAGCGCACTTGTACCTAGTTTAGAGATGATACTTTCATTCTATGAAGCATGGACACTCTTTGGATACACTACTGTATGCATTTTCTTTGGTAGTAATAACATGTGATTTAACTGGAAGTTATTTTGACATAACAACTAGCTAGTCTTCTGATTTAGAAGATTTTACCAGCAAACATTACCGATTTTATAAAAAATAAAACTATACGATATAATGTTCAATTTTAAAAAATTTAAATCAACGTGTCCTGGCGTGTTGGTGTCCACGTCGTTTCGTGGCCATGCTTAGCTTTTATGTGTTGTAAAGTGGAATGAAGACATAGTTGTTAGTTCTGCCTCCCTTTCTGTTAGCTAGACTCGTAAAAATTCTGCAATCAAATTCCATTTGTCAGTTATTACTGAGAAAGACGAAGGCTCTGAGAAGCTTTGAGACTTCATATAATCACATTGAGATTCAATGCAGAACCTTTGCTATCAATTTTCAGGTACAAGAGGTTTTAATTTTCCTGGGAATATATAGCTCCTGTTTGATGCCCATTGAAAATAGGTTTTTTTTTTTTTTTTGGTTGGGAAAATGAGTTTTGGAAGTGATTTATTGGAGGATGTATGATTAAAAAGTAGGAATTTTTTTTTGTATTTGTAAGAAAGATTGATACGCATTAGACATATATTCGCCTCCTGGATCAGGTCGTAAGATCTTGATGGAAAAGGAAAATTGATTGTCAATGAGAGCAATGAAAGACTAAAAGGTAGATAAAACCTCACTCTTTGCACGAAGAAAGTAAATCCATGTGAAGCGACTATAGTCATCAATAAATATAACAAAGTATTTATAATGAGCATGGGATACTACATGTGCTAAACCCCATATATCACTATGAATAATATCAAAAATATGTGAAACATGAGAACTATAAGAAGGGAACGGTAAAACCTTGCTTTTAGCAAATTTACACGAGGCACAATCAAGTGAGAGATGAAACCGAAGTAGAATTCTTATTACCAATTAAACTAGAGTTCAACAAATGATGTAATACATTAGAATTTGGGTGTCCCAATATCTTATGCTAATAAAAAATATCGAAAGCAGCAGAATTACAAACAATAGAAAAAGATGGAACGTGCTTTGGTGAAATAGGAAAGAGACGTCACTCCTTAGGCCTCTCATGATTGTCCTCTTGGACACCTGATCTTGGACAAGACAACTAGAAGAAGAAAAAGACACGGTGCAATTGTTATCAACAAGTTGACCAATAGATATAAGATGAGTTGATAAACTATAAGAGTAAAATATTAGGTAAATCTAGTGATACATCACCCATGACCGTAATATGAAGAGTATTACCATCGGCAGTGTGTATATGGAGATGTCCAGTATATGGTCTAAGGTTACTAAGTAATTGAGTATCATGAGTCATATGATTAGAAGCATCGGAGTCCAGTAACCAAGAAGGAGCAGTTGATGTTTTACTTGAGACACCTAATGCAGACAAAGCAGAAATAACCATTTGTTGGATAATCTCAGTAGTGGTAGAGTGTTGGGTAGAACTGTGAGAGGCTGGAACTTGAGTGGGAGCAACTGGCGAAATAGAACTTGATGCTAACGTGGCCGCAGCAATATAACCTGGTCCAGTCTTGCGTAAAGGACGTATAGGACATTCCTTAATGACATGACCAAACTTCTTGCAATAATTACACATTTTTCTTGGACACTGAAGAGTCATATAACCAAACCCCTTACTGCTGCAACACTAAATACTAGACATATCTCGATTTTTAAATTTTCCTTGAGCAGCATATGCAACAAGAATTGTTGCTACTTGATTATGATGTTGCTCCAACGAGGTACGAGTGATAAGTCGATGCTCTTCTCTCAGTAACTCGCCTAAACAA